CCTCCATATCTGGTGTTGCTGCCTCTCTAGATAGGGTCCCGCATTCCACTTGTGCTCTTCTCCCTTGATGGTCCTAAGGTTGTTTGTTTCTGGACTGTAAGATTAACTACTCCCCTGTTTTTGTTACAAAACTTTTACTTTTACATTTATGACAGTCACAATTAGTCATGATAACAATTACTCACTATTGAATCATAAGAATCTTATCCCCATCTATTTTCACCAGACCTGTCTAGACAAGATGAGAACTATTCAGTGAGGACTCTATCTTCCCCCACACACTCTTAAACTAAACTCCCTCTTGAAAACTTATAGGCCAGTCACTTTGTGCCTTTATTGCCCCCTCATTTTAGGTAGCAAATGACTAAGTTGCCCATCCCTATCTACCCTGTATACAGAGGGGATAGGATTAATACTTGATGTGAAGACGCCTTCCCTCTCAGTTGGTATTTTGAGCTACAACAGCCACATGTATAGGTCAAGTTCATCAAATAGTAGCAATTTACATTTATTTTCTTTATCAAAAACTGTTTTTTATCTTCCTCTAGTTGAGTTCTGATTATTGAGGCTAGGTCAAATGGGTACTATATGCATGTCTGGGTGCTCTTGTGCCTCTCTGCTCACTTCATATCAGCTGGATGCTTCACTCTCAGCTCTAGCCCTCCATGGCTATGTCCTTGTCCATGGGCTCAAGAGTCCTCAGGTCTCACCACACTTCAGACCAATCATCCCTTCCTCTTCTCTCTCTCATCTCCAGGTTGACAGGAGTCTACAGAATGTGGTTGAATTCAGCCCATATCTTCATTGCTGCTTTTCCTCATCTTCCACTCACCAGTAGACCAATGTGGTCACCAGAAAGCTTACATACCTGTTCATGTGTTCCCTTTGAGTTTCAGTCTTGGAGGGGGGTTTGCCCTGAAGGGACTTGATTCCTTGCCTTGATGGCTTCCCAGTGAACAACTTGATTATTCTTGTAGCAGCCAATCATACTGCCATTTTTTGGGTTTTGGGTTTTCCTGCTGATCTTACTTTCAAGATGTATCTTCTGTTGCTCTAGTTGTTCCAGGCTGGTCTGATTGTCCTTTCTGGTGAGATTGTCCCACCTCAGAAGGTTCTGGATGGGGCTCAGGATTCCACCTATGGTCTTATGCACTACAAAGGCTTTACAAGAAGCCTATTTCACTGGGCAAGTTCTAGAACCCCTTTAGGGTATTCCAATCAGTTATAGGTGGAAGACGGGCTTACAAGCTTTCTGTAATCATGTTTCCCAACATTCCTTTCTATCCCACTCCAGTGTCTACTTTACAATAGTAGGCAAGGGAAACCAATGTTCATAAGACAGTCAAGCATCTTAGCATTCTTTCCACTCTTCAGACTATGCCTTGATCCCTGTATCACAGAGCCCTGTTGTTCCTAGGCCTTTGGTTTTTATGGAAGCCAATAGCATAGTAGTTACAAGTCAGACTGCTAACCTCAAGGTCAGTATTTCGAAACTACCAGACATTCCGTGAGAGAAAGATGAGGCTTTCTGCTCCCTTAAATATTTACAGCCTTGGAAACCCTATTCAGGGTCGTTATGAGTTGGAACCAACTCCATGGCATACAACCATGACCTGTTGTTAAGGAGCTCTGGTAGCGTAGTGGTTACAAGTTGGGTTGCTGACCTCAAAGTCAGCAGTTCGAAACTACCAGCTGTTCCGTGGGAGAAAGATGAGACATTCTGCTTCCGTAAAGATTTACAGTCTCGGAAACCCTATACAGGGTAGCTATGAGCCGGAAACTGACTCCATGGCACACCACCACCACCACCTGTTGTTAGTTGTCATTATATTGGCACTGATGCATACAAATCTCATGTATAACAGAATGAAATACTTGATCCAGAAGCATCTTCATGATCATTGGCATGCTTGAATCCATTGTTAGTTACAATGACTGTGCCAAGTCATTACATGTGTCAGCAAAGCCTATGCTCGGGCTAAAGAAAAAAACCATATCTTTGAGGAGCTGGGCATTAGTGACTGAGGAAGGCTAGTGTGTGAGTCCCTCGTGTGTGTAAGCATATGTGTCTGGCTACAGGTTGGCCTGCTTAGGGGGCTGAAAGCTCAAGGATCAGGGCAGGGTACATGATAGAGAGGAGACATGAGGACTGGAGGAACATTGAGGGTTGGAGGAGACTGGGATGCATAGGGATTCACACCTGGGCAGTGGGCCAGGAGCCATTTCTGCAGCAGCCAAACTCCAGCAGTGCTTTCAGTCTCCTGGGCACCCAAACCCAGTGACCAAGACCTGCCGAGGGAAGAACTGAGCAGCTCTCATTCCATGGAGGGCAAGGAAGGGTGGCCCCGTCACCAAGCAGGATCTTAGAGAGCTACATGAGTGTTTGGAATGTTGCCTTCAGGCTAGTTCTTGGTCACATGCAACTTCTCTCAATGGTTCTGTTTGAATCTCTTCTTTCAGGTGATGCAGACCTTGGTCATCTAGGCTCCTGACTCTCAGCCCTCCCCCTGCCTATGACCCCTCAGAACCTGCCTGTGCCATTCAGATGGGCTGTGCTGTTGGATGGTTCACAGGACCCAAAGCAGCACCCTCTGTGGCCAGTCAGAGTGCTCTACAAGGCAGGGAGGGATCCTGGTTTTGTGAGGGCTTGAAATACATGTGGCTCTTTAAAAAGAGAACATCACATTAATTAACTAGGTCACAGAATAAATGATCCACTGCTACACACAACAACGTGTACAAAATTCAGATGTTATGTTGAACAAAAGAAGTCAGGCACCAAAGAGTCCACATTGCGTACTTGCATTGATACAAAGTCAACGAGCAGGCAAAGGTCATCTCTAGTGAATGAAGCCAGAATAATTCCTCCTGGTGGGAACCTTCTGGGGTGATGTCTATCAATTTGAATGCACCTAACAACGTTCTATTATTACTTGCATTCTATGTTTGATCAGCACTGGACTGGGAACTACAAAGATGGTTATTCAAACCCACCAGCTGCTCCTTGGAAACCCTATACAGGATCACTATGAGTCGGAACCAGCTATCCGGAACTTAACAACAACAATTGTTCCGTGCCCTAGTCCCCTGCCTCCTCTCTCAACCAACTACTCCCCCAACCAGCACCTTATCCCTACCTTCCGGCTGAACTCCTGCGCCTTGCGCCTGCGCTCTCGGTGCACGGCATGTAGGCGCTTGCGGCCAGCCAGGCGCAGCAGCTCACCGCCCAAGGAAAGGCCGCGGTTGTGGCGCGGGAGCCGCAAGGCTGTGATCGGGGCAGCGGGGCCGGATCCTGGATTGGGGGCGCCTTCAGGAGCCGGAAGCACACCGAGGCTGGGCGGCACGCGCGGACAGCGTCTTGCCAGGCGCACCAGGTGATCACGGCTCAGGCCACCCACTGCCAGGCCCTCCACTTCCAGGATCTGATCCCCGGGTCGCAACCCTCCGGCGTGCGCGCTGCTCCCCTCGGCCACTTCTAGGACAAAGCAGGGGCCTGAGCCCCCCAGTCGGAAGCCAAAGTCCTCAGGCCAACCCTGGTTGGTGGCCGGCATGACAGCGGTGTTGGTATGGCTGGAGAGGGGGAGAAAAATAAATAGGGGCTCCTTGGGGCGCTGTCCATGGTGCCACACCCCGCTCAGCTCTGCAGTTTACCTGGTGGGGAATGTGCCCACCTCTGCTCCTCTTTCTTACTCTCTCTCTGTGTCCCCCTCTTTCTTTCTCCCTTCCCCATTTAACTGTCTGTCTGGGCCCAAGCATTCCACCAATAGGAGGAAGTATGTATGAGAGGATAGGGTCAGACAGAAGGAAATGTGTAAAGACCAGATCTCAAACCCCAGGGAGGCTGCACCATGACTTGGGGGCTGGAGGGACAGCAATTAGGGTGTGTAGTTTTTAGGAAAGGAGTCCTGGCAGCATAGAGGGCTAAGCATTGGGCTGTGAACTGAAAGGTCGGTGGTTCAAACCTGGTAGCAGTTGGAATTGACTGAATGGCAACTGGTTTGTTTTGGGGTTTGGTCTTTTGGAGGAGGTCTGGTGGCACAGTGGTTAAGTGCTCAGCTGCCAACCCAAAGATTGGAGGTTTTAACCCTACAAGAGAAAAATGTGGCAGTCTGCTTCCATAAAGGTGTACAGTCTTGGAAACCCTGTGGGGCAGCGGTAGTCTGTCCTGTGGGGTCGCTATGAGTCAAAATCAACTTGATGGAAGTAAGTTTGGATTCGTCTTTAGGAAGAACATTGGAAAGTGTGAGGCTGCTGGTTCAGTGCCCCAGGGGATGGTGGTGGCGGTGGTTATGTGCTGTGGAGTCGGTTCCGACTCATAGCGACCCTGTAAAGGATTTCTGAGGCTGTAAATCTTTATGGGAGCAGAAAGTCTCATCTTTCTCCTGCAGAACAGCTAGTAGTTTTGAACTGCTGACTTTAAGGTACACAGCCCAATTCATAACCACTATGCTACCAGAGCCCCAAGGGATACCAGGGCTAAAGTGGGGGTGTGTGTCTCTGACGACATCTGCTCATTTCTCTACATTTCAGTTAGCTCTAGACTCCATAATAAAACAAACAAACAAACAAAATTAGGGAGGAAGGGAAGGGATGTGTAAAAGGTTTTCCCTTAGGTTATTGGTTTGAGTTCAGTGGTTTTAACCAACGAAGCTACACCTTTTTCCATGTATCTGCTTTGCTGTCTGAGCTAGAGGGTGGATTCCCTCTCACCTCACTCTTCCCTCAATGTTAATCCCTCTTCTTCCCCATTCAAAGACTCCAGGAGCCAGAAGATGCCCCAGAAACCATCCCTATCCCTGGAGAGGGCTTAAAGACCATCTCAGACCCAGGGAAGTGGATTACTTGCACTTGAGACATGAGGATCCTACCTCAAAGTCACTCAGCAGAGAATGGCAGCGGCACTCCCAGCCACCTCACCCAACATTCACCCCACAGAACAACACTACCTCCGGCCACCACAGGAGAAGCTCTGGCAACTGTGTCCAGGGGGTGCCTGTCTGTGTGGAGGATGCTCCTGCAGGCCCCTTCACTTAATGTGGGAGACCCCAAAAGCTGGCTACTCGCACACTCTCTCCCTCTATCTTGCCCTGGGGTTCTGGTGGGGGAACAGGCAATCATGTATCCCCTTGACACAGGCATCAGTGGTGGGTATGTGACCAGGCTAATCACTGTGTCCCAACCCACGTGTCCCAAAGAAGGGCTGTTCAGATTAGACACTGGGCCTGCAAGTGGAAGATTAATGCAAATTTGGGACTGCCATCTTGCCACCATATGGAGAGTCCATTTTTATGATAGCATCTGAACTCCTGGATGCAGCTGTGTCTGAAAGTTACCCAGCTGTCATATTATGAAGACTTTCCAGTGCTATGAGCTCACCATTTAGAGGTAAGTTTCTGTCATTTGCTACTGACAGGACACCGGGGGCTTTCAACTTCTAGGCAAGGAGGAAATGATAGGGGATTTCATGTGGAAAACACTGTCCTCATTACTAGAGAGCCCTGGTGGCACCATGGGTTAAGTGTTGGCCTGTTAACTGAAAGGTCAACAGTGGGAGAAAGATGAGGTTGTAAAGATGCCCCTGTAAAGATTAACAGCCTTGGAACCCCTAAGGAGTAGTTCTGCTTTGTTTTGTAGCATCATCACTCTGAGGTGGAATTGATTTGATGGCATTGGGAGTGATTTTGTGGGAGATTTGCCTTTTAGTTGCACGGCTCCTAGTGAACTCTAGGGAAAAGCAGGGTATGGAATTTGGGGTTTCTGGGCTCTAGGGTGGGTTTCGGGGAGGAAGCCAATTGTGTGAGCTGCTGAGATGGACTGGGGATACAAACAGAACCTGGGGAAGCAAGGGTGATGGACTGTTCTGGAAGAAACCGTGTGTGTGTGTGTGTGTGTGTGTGTGTGTGTGTGGTGTGTTCCTGTCTGTCTGTCTGTTTTAAGCAGGACATCCAGGTATGGCCCCTGAGATTATAGGCTGTGTTGTGAAGGCTTCTTTTTCAGGAAATGAGTCCACAGATCTGGTACAGAGTGTCTGAGGGCTTCCTAACCCTGGTTTAGAAGAACATCTGAGGGGTGGTTTCCAAGGCAGGCTCCTGCTCGCTGGTGCCTTCAGGGCTCAGCAGATACTGGAAGATCCACCCACAGAATCAGTCTCTATGACTCCTGAGGGTGGGGGGCCCTGGGGAATCTTTCTTAAAAGCTGGGGAGCTAGGAGAGAGGAAGCAAGCCAGGGTTCCAATAACAACATGGACTATGAGGATATGTCTTTGAGTGACATCGATGTGGAAGCATGTCATCAGCCGCTAGGGGGCATGGTGTGTGAGAACGCTTCATGCTAGGTGGGGTGGAGGCTGTCACCAGTTTAGGCTGGTAGGATCCCTCCTGATCCTATCAGGGGCCGCATCCTCCTCTGCCACAAGTTGCTGAGTTTCAAGCATGGAGCCTCTGGGATGCTTTCTTTGTCACTCGGTGGCAAAGCACTAGTCCCCCCATGGTCCACTGTGCCTAGGCAAGGTGGAGGATCACCGAGTCTTGAAGGGTCCTAAAGTCAGTTTTGTGCAATGAAAGCAGCAGTCAGCATTCCATAATCCAAGAGGGACAGGGTAGAAACTGAATTCAAGGCCGGATCATGGGCTTTTCTCCCTCTGCCTCCCACACCAACCATGCACACCTATTCAACCAGCACACCTATGGCAGGTAACTCCCAACACCTCTGTGCCTGAGCTATAAAGCCCATATGGCCAAAGAAGCCACCAGTAGTCAGACCCCACTTGGAGTCCCCAGTTTGAACCATTCCAAGCCTTCTGAGCTCCCCACCCACCCACCCAGCTGACCGATGCCCCCTCTCCCACCCAGCTGGGGCTCCTAGTGGGAGCACTCTCTTCCCTCACTCATCACCTGGAAACCGGATGCCAGGCTCCTGGTAGAGGTTACTGGGCTATCTCAGACATGTGAGGAAGGCATCCTGGGGTCCCATTCTAGAATATAGGTACTGCACCCCCAGCTGGCTCACCTCTTCACTGAGGGCTGTGATGGCTGTGGAGAGCAGAGCAGGACGCTCACAAAATGCCCGGGGACGCCTGCTTGCAGCTGGCCCTCTGCTGCTCAGGGTCTTGGCATCAGTTACTGATGCAGCCGAGGTGACAGCTGGAGTTTCTAAGGCAAAGTGATCCTCTGGGTAACCTGAGGAGGCCCCAGTTACCAGGTAGACCAGCAGGATGTCTGGATAGTTTGACGGGGGGCCAGTCTGGTTGGCCCCTGTTTCATGGTACTGGGGGGTGCAGAGTGGTCCAAGATAATGAATGCTCATCTCTATGCCCCTTTCACTGGGAGGCTGGAGTGGGGCCTATGGCTGGGTCCACCTATGAGTTCATGGAACTTGGCAGCTGGGTTGGGAGGATTTGATTGGGTTATTTTGGGGTGGGGGATGGCACACTGCTCAGTGGGACCCATGAGAGCAAAGGGGGCCAGTATTCCCCACAGGGATATCACAGCGGGAGCTCCACTCCCATAGGCTGGGTTTACTGGCAGGAGGAGAGAGGCCAGATGGCAAAAAATGGTTTGGGTGGGGGAAAGGCACTAAGCTAAGTCAGTTTGGAAATGGATGGAGACTTTGAGACCGAAGGCAAGAGGAACTGTGCTTAGCACTGTGCTTTACCTAGTAAGCGTGTTTCCCCACTGAGGTGGTTGTTGTTACGTGCTGTCGAGTTGGCTATGACACGTAGCAACCTCATGTACAAGAGAGCAAAGTACTGCCCAGTCCTGCACCATCCTCACAATCACAGCCACTGGATCAATCCATCTCAATGAGTCTTCCTCTTTTTTGCCCACCTTCTACCTTACCAGGCATGATGTCCTTATCCAGGGACTGATGCCTCTTCATGACATGTCCAAAGTACATGAGACGATGTCTCACCATCCTCGCTTCAAAGGAGTATTCTGGCTGTACTGCTTCCAAGAAGTTCTTCTGGCAGTCCATAGGATGTTTATTATGCTTCACCAGTACCACAGTTCTAAGGCAACAGTTCTTCTCTGGTCTTACATATTCACTGACCGGCTTTCACATACATATGATGACATTGAAAATACCATGAGTTGGGTCATGTGAACCTTAGTCTTCAAAGTGACATCTTAGCTTTTTAACAGTTAAAAGATATTTTACAGCAGATATGTTCCATACAATATGTCGTTTGCTTTCCTGATTGCTGCTTCCATGGGCATTGGCTGTGGATTCAAGTAAAATTAAATTATTGATAATGACAATCTTTTCTCCACTTATCATGATGTTGCTTACTGGTCCAGTTGTGAGGATTTTTGTTTTCTTTACATTGAGGTGTAACCCACACTAAAGGCTGTAGTCTTTGAACTTCATCAGTAATATTTGAAGTCCTCCTCACTTTCAGCCAGAAAGGTTGTGTCCTCTGAATATCACAAGTTATTAATGAGTCTTCCTCCAATCCTGATGCCACATTTTTCTTCATATAGTCCAGTCTCTCAAATTATTTGCTCAGCATACAGACTGAATAAGTATGGTAAAAAGATACAACCCTGACACACAC